AACCCACAGAAGAGATTCCCAGCTACACATTCCTAGGAATACTTTGGGAGGGCTGATGATGAAAGAACTCAGGCCTTACCATTCCAAAGGGAAGATTGGGCTTTAAAGGACAAATCTGGCTCCTAGCAAGACCAAGCTTTTAAGCCAGAAATTAACTGAGCCAGCAGAAGGGAATGATCCACGCACACACCTCAGCAGGGTCCATGCAGTACCTGCTGCTCTGCAGGTATGAACTGGGAGGTCAGGAATCACAGACATTTGCCCAGGGCTCACCAGAAGTGCAGTACACTCAGGAATTTGTCAAGGCTTGCAGGGTTTTACCTGGATGGGGTTCTCCTCCGAGGCGTGCTTGTCCCGGCGTCTCCCTTCCACCCTGCGGATTGTGCCAGCCTGGCCCCCGATGACATCAATGGTGCCCCCCAGCTTCCTGGGACAAAGCACAGGCACCTTGTCAGCCTCAGGAGCACCACAGGGAGCAATGTTCCCTGCTGGCAGCACATTTCTTTCAAGCTTTCTTTCCCACCAGGGAAATATCTCTCAAATGGGGATGAGGAGGCAAGGAGAAGCCCGTTTGCATTCCTGAAGTTTCCCTCTGAGCAGGGGTGGGTTTGGGCTCTCTGAGCACCCAGAAATGTTATCCAAAGAACCACCACAAACAGGGATTACACACTGGGACAGAAATGCTCCCAAAATGCTCAAATCCAACAGACTGAGCAGAGCTTTAATGCTCATCCTTGAGGCACAGAGCTGGTTCCCAGGCAAGGGGTAAAGTTGGGATGCAGGGCTGCTTTCTGCAAGGCAGGTGTGCAAAAGCTGTTTTGTGAATGAAGCAACAGAAACACCCTGAGCCCAAAGCTCTGGCTCGTCTGGGGTGTTCTTCTGAAGCTTCTGATAAAACCCCATTGATCTCCTAAGGGCCAAGTGGTTTCCCCAGCAGAGGCTGCCCCTCAGAATGACTCAGTTGTTTTACCACACATCCAGCAGCGTCGCACACAGGCTCAGGAACCAACAGCTCCTCTTATCCTCTGCCAAACTCGTAATCCACTTCCACTTGAGGAGGCAAAGATTAACATCGTGGGAGGAGGAATAAGCCAAGCAAGCACAAGCAATGTCAGCAGTGTGAGCCCTCAAAGCTGAGGAGTTTGCCTGGCTCCTTCCACTCCCAGAGATGTGTCCCATCAGCTGGGATCCAGTGCCAAGGAGGGGGGAATGGACAGGCAGGGGCTGCACTGCTGGAGGTGACACTGAGTGACCACAGCAGCTTCCTGCCAAGCTTAAAAGCTTCTCTTTGAGGCTTGAGGAGACTCAGATGTGGCCCAGGTGGTTCTTAGGTGCCCCCATGAAACACAGGCTCCTCTCTTACCTGTTGGGAGGAGGCCCAGCCTTCATTCGTCCTCCCACCAGAGCCAAGAAGTCTGTTTTGAACTCTGTTTTGATGATGCTGCTTTCCACTTCTTTTTCAGCATTTCCTGTTCTTCCCTGCTGAACCTATGGAAGGAAATAGATAACACATGGGTATTGTGCTTTTATTTCAACTGAATGGAGCACCAGAGATTAACCCTCAGCAAAAGAAAAGGAACAATCACAGTAACCTATTCTTCAGTCAAGGCACAGCCATTTGTGCCATTCCACTCTCAGCCTGCTGCCCACTGTCTCCCATCAGAAGCTCTGATATGAGTTTATGAAACTCATATCATTTTCCATGGAGTCACTAAGTCCAAATTGGAATAAGCAATACTTGTACTGACAATTTGGCTGAAGTTCTGATGGCCACCATGGACTCCTGCAAGGCTGATGGCCAAGGCAGTCTGCAAACACAAAATGCAGCCACACCACTGCAGCAGGCTCCAGAGTAAGCAGAACAACCCTGGGGGCTCAGCTCCCCTCCCTGCACTTCCCTCATCCAGAGGGCTTTCCAAGTCAACTGGAAATTCACTCCAGTCTTGCTGCTGTAGTGGTTCAAACTTACCAGGCTGATGGAACCACTCCTTCCTCACAGGAAAGATTTTCAACAGAGATTTAATCTTTAAAGATTCATTTTTGGATTTCTCCTTGCTGGAAGCACACAGAACAGTTCAGAACTGTATCTCCTGCTCTTACACCCTCATCTCTGTGACTACAAACACAATGCCAGTTTTCCTGGAGCCAGGACAGGAGTCACATCACCCACCGTGATCTTGTTCTCAGTGCTGATGGGAGGAGCAGGGTCCAGCCCCAGCTGAAGCCGCCGCTGCTTTTCACAATAAGCTTTCCATGTTTCTTCATTGAATCCATAATTAAAGTAATCAGAAAGATCAGCACCTGGCAGAGGGAGCAGGAGTTAGCACAGAGGCTCTGCACATTTGCACTCTCAAGCTGTCCTTTAACTGCTCATATAAAGGGTTAGGGCAACAAAAGTTTTCCAGCAAGCCCCTGTGCCTTCCCCTGTCAGCTGTGGGTGCCCCAGAGGAGGAGACACTGCTGCACCTTGGGTGGGAGG